ACAACACACGTCACACACCACACCTGTGTGACAGGGACACACGTCACACACCACACCTGTGTGACAGGGACACACGTCACACACCACACCTGTGTGACAGGGACACAACACACGTCACACACCACACCTGTGTGACAGGGACACACGTCACACACCACACCTGTGTGACAGGGACACACGTCACACACCACACCTGTGTGACAGGGACACACGTCACACACCACACCTGTGTGACAGGGACACAACACACGTCACACACCACACCTGTGTGACAGGGACACAACACAGAACACACGTCAACACACACCTGTGTGACAGGGACACACGTCACACACCACATCTGTGTGACAGGGACACAACACACGTCACACACCACACCTGTGTGACAGGGACACACGTCACACACCACACCTGTGTGACAGGGACACACGTCACACACACACTGTGTGACAGGGACACACGTCACACACGTGTGACAGGACACACACCACACACCCTGTGTGACAGGGACACACGTCACACACCACACCTGTGTGGAACACACACACACACCTGTGTGACAGGGACACAACACACGTCACACACCACACCTGTGTGACAGGGACACAACACACGTCACACACCACACCTGTGTGACAGGGACACACGTACACACCAACACCTGTGTGACAGGGACACAACACACGTCACACACCACACCTGTGTGACAGGGACACACACAGTCACACACCACACCTGTGTGACAGGGACACAACACACGTCACACACCACACCTGTGTGACAGGGACACACGTCACACACCACACCTGTGTGACAGGGACACACGTCACACACCACACCTGTGTGACAGGGACACAACACACGTCACACACCACACCTGTGTGACAGGGACACAACACAGAACACACGTCACACACCACACCTGTGTGACAGGGACACACGTCACACACCACATCTGTGTGACAGGGACACAACACATGTCACACACCACACCTGTGTGACAGGGACACACGTCACACACCACACCTGTGTGACAGGGACACATGTCACACACCACACCTGTGTGACAGGGACACACGTCACACACCACACCTGTGTGACAGGGACACACGTCACACACCACACCTGTGTGACAGGGACACAACACACGTCACACACCACACCTGTGTGACAGGGACACAACACAGAACACACGTCACACACCACACCTGTGTGACAGGGACACACGTCACACACACCACATCTGTGTGACAGGACACAACACATGTCACACACCACACCTGTGTGACAGGGACACACGTCACACACCACACCTGTGTGACAGGGACACACGTCACACACCACACCTGTGTGACAGGGACACACGTCACACACCACACCTGAGAGAGAGACGTGAGGGAGGACATCTGACACACACACGCACACACACACACGCACACACACAGACACACAGACACACACACACACACGCACACACGCACACACACACACACACAGACACACACACACACACACAGACACAAACACACACACACGCGCACACACACGCACACACACACGCACACACACACACACACGCACACAAACACACACAGACACAAACACACACACGCACACACACACACACACACACACACACAGACACACGTACACACACACAGACACACACACACACAGACACACAGACACACACATACACACACACAGACACACACACACAGACACACACACACACGACACACACACACACACACACACACACACACACACACACACACACACACACACACACACACACGACACACACAGACACACACACACACACACACACACACACACACACACACACACACACACACACACACAGACACACACACACACACACACACACACACACACACACACACACACACACACACACACACACACACACACACACACACACACACAGACACACACACACACAGACACACACACAGACACACACAGACACACACACACAGGTGTGGGCGTCTGACACACTGATACAGGAGGTTGAGTTCTTACTGTTCTTCTCTCCGTTCTCCTCCTCTCCTCTCTCTTCTTCCTCTTCTCCGTCCTCTCGCTGTAGCCCCTCCCCTGGCTGCAGGAGCCCCTCCCCTCGCTGCAGGAGCCCCTCCCCTCGCGGCCGTAGCCCCTCCCCCGGGTGCACGGCGGCGCGGTGCACCTGCAGCTGCTGTTTGCGGCTGAACTTGCGTCCGCACAGGTGACACAGGTGCGGCCGCTCGCCCGTGTGCTTCTGCAGATGCAGCGAGAGGAGGGACTTACAACTGAAGCTCCGCCCACACAGGTGACACAGCAGCTGAGAGGGCGGCGGCGGTGACGCGGCGCCGTGAGGGTGGAGCCTCTTCAGGTGATGCTCCAGGTCGTTCATCCTGAGACAGACACAAGTACAGGTGAGACACACATGGTTTAGACTGGTCTAAAACCCGGTCTAAACCCCGGTCTAAGTCCCGGTCTGACCCAGGTCTAAACCCGGTCTTGGTCTGACCTCATGTAGGCCTTGGGGCACAGTGGGCACTGGCAGGGTTTGATTCCCGTGTGGATTTGCTCGTGGGTCTTGAGTCTGGAGCGGTGGCTGAAGGTTTTTCCACAGGTGTGACAGAGCCAGGTGAGCGGTGGGGGGCGGAGCTTCACTCTGGGGGCGGGGCCGTTGGGGTGCATGACGCGTAGGTGATGTCGCAGGTTATCTGGACCAACAAGACTCGTTTAAAACACTAACATACAAACCAGGAACTTTATGTTTAAATAAATCTATTTCAAAACCAAGACAGAAACACAGAAATACGAAACAAAAACTTATATTTTATATAAATATTCATCTCACAGTTTTATTAAAATCATTTTAAGCTTTAGTGATTTACTTCAGTTTAGTCCTGGTTCAGTCCCTGTTTAGTCCTTGTCTAGTCCTGCTTTAATCCTGGTTCAGTCCTTGATGTGGTCCCTGGTCTTGTCTAGGTCTCGTCCCGGTCTCGTCCCGGTCTCGTCCCGGTCTCGTCCCGGTCTCGTCCCGGTCTCGTCCTGGTTTAGATCCAGACCTTTCCTGTTGAACCTGAGGGGGCAGAACCTGCAGCTGTGGGGCTGTTTGCCGCTGTGGACCAGAGCGTGTCGGGACAGACTCGATTTGGTCTTCAGGACTTTCCCGCAGACGTCACAGACCACGCCCCCCGCCGACACAAGCCCCGCCTCCTCCTTCACACGCACCGCGGCATCATGGGACACGCAGTTCTGAGGAGCCGCTGAAAACAAAACAACCAACACAAACTAAACTCTGACCACAGTTTAAACTCAGTCCTGTTTTTACTCCGTGTGTCTCCAGACTTTATCCTCCAGTGAGAAACTTTACAGAACGAGAACACACAGAACGACACAGAGCGACACAGAGCGACTCATGTCAACAGACGCAGGAAACACAGAACAACAGATTTATAATTAATTAATAAATTTGAGTTCTTCAGGACCAGAGCTGGATCATTCAGAAGAGGCTGATACGATCCAGTCGATACTTTGCACTTTTGATTCGATATATTTCAAATTGATTCAACACGATTCAATTAAACTAAAGTCTAAATCATGTGTTTGACACTAAAAGTTTTTGTTAAATCACTTCTTCTTGTGTAAAGTTCATCTGAAACATTTAAATTGTCAAAACAGTGAAAATGTCAAATGTGTCACATAAAAGAGTTTCTTCCTCTGAACAAATAACAAAACTGAAACTGGAACTAAATTATTTAGTAAAATAAACCAAAAAATCCTCGTGGTGATTTATCGATATAGTATCGATACTGAATCATCACAATAAATGATACGATATTTGTCTATTTGTACATTTGTATATTTTTCTATTTGTACATTTGTACATTTGTGCATTTGTATATTCGTGTATTTGTGCAGAGCTGTGTTGAGGACAGGTCGTGTGTTTGTGTGTTTGATAAACCCTGAGGAGACTCTGCTCTACGCTGACATCACACTGGGGGAGTTCTACATGTATGTCTGTGGTAGAATGTTCAGCAGAATCTATGGAGACACAAAGCTCACCTGAGCAAACACTGACAAAAGATCATCTGAAAACTCAAACGTCATTTAAAGAGAAACATTTTTCTGTTTTGAGTTTGAAAGTTTAAAACCCAGAGAATCACCTGAGCTGAATGTTCCGTGTCGGTGTTAGAACACAGATGTTCCGTGTCGGTGTTAGAACACAGATGTTCCGTGTCGGTGTTAGAACACAGATGTTCCGTGTCGGTGTTAGAACACAGATGTTCCGTGTCGGTGTTAGAACACAGATGTTCCGTGTCGGTGTTAGAACACAGATGTTCTAACATGTTTTAAAGTGTTAAAGATTTTCAAACTCACCTCTGTTTCGTGGAGTCCAGTTTGGGTCGTTCCTGGTTCTGTTCTCGTCCTCCTCTAAAGACAGAACACTTTATTAGGCTTAAACTGGAACTGAACTATCTGACCTCTGACCTTTACAACCATAAAACACAGAAATGTTGTTTTTTTCTGCCTTGAAAATCTGAGAGTTGTTTCTTTCTGAGCAGATTTCTGTCATTATCCTAAAAATCAGTGTCCAATGAGAACTTTGTTTTAGTCCAAACTCAGTCGTTCCGTCTGTTTTATTGGTCCAGACTTTGCAGACTGTGTGTGTTGAGTGAAACTGTTCCACTCAAGAGTCGCTGTGAATAAAACGGTTCAGATCTGTGAGTTTTTTACCTGTAGCTTTGGTCTTCTCTGAGTCTTTCTCCTCTTCTGCTCCTCTTCTTCTTTTCCGTTCTGGACTCCCCGGGGTCTCATAATCCTGGTACCTCCGCGAGGGCCGGATCTCACGAGTCCGAGTCCTGGTTTTAGTCCTGGTCTGGTCCTCGGTGTCTGGTCCGGTCCGGTTTGGATCCCCCTGGAGCTGGTCTTTGGTCTCTGGTACAGTCTTGGTTTGATCTTGAGTCTCTGGTGTGGTCCTGGTCTGGTCTCCGGTCTCTTGTGTGATCCTGGTCGGGTTCTGAGTCCTGGTCTGGTCCCGGTTGAGTCTGGGTCGGCCTCTGGGTCTGGGTTTGTGGCAGTGCTGCAGGAGAGCGCCCCCCTCTGGTCCCTCTGCTCTCACACTCACACACTGAAGAACCATCGAAGGACCTGAACAAAACCAGAGAGAAGAAAACGTTTCAGCGACGAAGACGAGACCCGCGAGACCAACGAGACCCGCGAGACCCGCGAGACCAACGAGACCCGCGAGACCAGCGAGACCCGCGAGACCAACGAGACCCGCGAGACCAACGAGACCCGCGAGACCAACGAGACCGCGAGATCAACGAGACCCGCAGACCAAGACAACGAGACCGCGAGACCAACGAGACCCGCGAGACCAACGAGACCAACGAGACCCCGAGACGAGACCCGCGAGACCAACGAGACCCGCGAGACCCCGAGACCAACGAGACCCGCGAGACCAACGAGACCAACGAGACCCGCGAGACCAACGAGACCCGCGAGACCAACGAGACCCGCGAGACGAGACCAACGAGACCCGCGAGACAACGAGACCCGCGAGACCAACGAGACCCGCGAGACCAACGAGACCCGACCCGCGAGACCCGCGAGACCAACGAGACCCCGCGAGACCCGCGAGACCAACGAGACCCGAGACCAACGAGACCAACGAGACGAGACCAACGAGACCGCGAGACCGCGAGACCAACGCGAGACCAAACCCGAGAGACCAACGAGACCCGCAGACCAACGAGACCCGCGAGACCAACGAGACCCAAGACAAGACCCGCGAGAGATGAACGAAGACCCGCCGAGACCAACGAGACCCGCGAGACCAACGAGACCAACGCGAGACCAAGAGACCCGAGACCCGCGAGACCCGAGACCCGAGACCCGAGACCCGCGAGACCAACGAGACCCGCGAGACCAACGAGACCCGCGAGACCAACGAGACCAGACCAGACCCGAGACCAACAAGACCCGCAACCAAGACCCGCGAGACCAACAAGACCCGCAAGACCCGCGAGACCAACGAGACCAAACGAGACCCGCGGAGACCAAGACCGAGACCCGAGACCAACGAGACCCAACGAGACCAACGAGACCAACGAGACCCGCAAGACCAACGCAAGACCAACGAGACCAACGACCACCAAGACCCGCGAGACCAACGAGACCCGCAAGACCAACGAGACCCGCGAGACCAACGAGACCCGCAAGACCCGCGAGACCAACGAGACCAACAAGACCCGCGAGACCAACGAGACCCGCGAGACCAACAAGACCCGCAAGACCCGCGAGACCAACGAGACCCCCAAGACCCGCGAGACCAACGAGACCGACCAACGAGACCCGAGACCAACGAGACCGCAAGACCCGAGACCAACGAGACCAACGAAGACCCGCGAGACCAACGAGACCCGCGAGAGACCAACGAGACCCGCGAGACCAACAAGAGACCCGCGAGACAACGAGACCAACGACCCGCGAGACCAACGAGACCCGCGAGACCAACGAGACCCGCGAGACCAACGACCAACGAGACCAACGAGACCAACGAGACCAACGAACGAGACCGCAAGACCCGCGAGACCAACGAGACCCGCAAGACCAACGAGACCGCGAGACCAACGAGACCCGCGAGACCAACGAGACCCGACCAACGAGACCCGCGAGACCAACGAGACCCGCGAGACCAACGAGACCCGCGAGACCAACGAGACCCGCAGACCAACGAGACCAAGACGAGACCAGCAAGACCCGACGAGACCAACGAGACCAACGAGACCCGCGCGAGACCAACGAGACCCGCGAGACCAACGAGACCCGCGAGACCAACGAGACCAACAAGACCCGCGAGACCAACGAGACCCGAGACGAGATCAACGAGACCAACGAGACCCGCGAGACCAACAAGACCCGCGAGACCAACGAGACCCGCGAGACCAACGAGACCAACAAGACCCGCGAGACCAACGAGACCCGCGAGACCAACGCGAGACCAACAAGACCCGCGAGACCAACGAGACCAACGAGACCAACGATGACGTTTAGAAAACACGAGTCTGTTTCAGAGACTAAAGCGTCACACTACAGGAGAATTTGCCTGATTTTGGCCCCAATTTCTTCTCCCTGAATTGATCCACAGGAAGAACCAAAATGGAAACATTTGTCTGACTAAGAAATCATCCCGAGTTTACAGAGAACATTTTGTCTGTGAAGCGACGACAAAACAAAATCCTGTTTGTTAATGTAGAGGAGCAGAAGACAAACAGACTGAGCTGCACTTTCTTGTTCTTGTGGTTTTACAGAAACATCACGTCTTGGTCTTTGCAGTGGAAGGTGTTTCTTGGTGAACAGTTGGAGACTTTCACTTTGGCCTTGACTTTTTAAATTCATAACCGAGGTTGAGCGACGGATCAGGATTTTGCAGAAACCCTGCTCCATGGACACGGGGTTTTCTCCCTCTCAAGACCAAGTTCAGTCCTGGTTTATGATTCATGTTTATTTCAAACAGTCCTTTTGTTTTATTGACATATTTAACATATTATTACATTTTTAAAAAGTAAACTCAGTCTGTGGTTTGGTCTGATCTTTGACACTTTAGAGTCGACAGGAAACATCTGACGCCATCACAGACTCACACGTTTATATCACACGATTAAAAATCATTTAAAGGTTGTATGGAGGATTTTTTTTTTTAGTTTCAAATTATCAGTGAAAGTTAAATACTGTTACAGAGACGCAGCAGCTTTCTAATTATGATGACCAAAAAAAAAAAAGAATGAAAATCGATCACCTTTGGACGTGTTGAGGCCAGAGAAACATCAGCCAATACAAAACGAGGCTCCCTCATTTTCTATTGGCTGTTGGGTTGTCAATCAAACTCCCTACATTTCTAGTGAAAGTGACTTGTGGGCACGTGGGGATTTCGTGGTTTACGAAGCGGTTCTTAGAGGCTTTTTCAAACTGTCACTTCCTTGCAGTTCACACAAAGTTTGTCGCGACGTCGGACGAGAATCCATGACCAGGTCGCCGCAAAAGAAAGTCGGTTTCTGAGGTCGCTGAAAGAAGAAGAGAAGAGGAAAAGGAGCGAAGACAAACTGAGGTGATTCTTGGAGATTTCTTCCAGCGATGGCGCGACTGAAGCAGACGAAGGGTCTAAAAACTGACGCATCGGTCGATAAAATATTTCTAGACAGGAAACTTCAACAGTGATTCTGAACAAGCACTGGATGTAAACAAACGTGACTCTAGAGTAAAGAGGCGGGAGGAGGAGATGTTTCTACTGAGGAGCTGTGGAGGAGGAACATGCACAAGGACGGTCGCTGTATTTCTCTTCCCTTAAAAAATCCTCTATACAACCTTGAAGACCAAAAAATCCTGCAGTGTGACGCTTTAGAAAGTCTCTGAAGTAGTGACGGGCATTCGATGAAATTTTCTTAATCAATCGTCGGAAGAATTAACGATCGATTATCGATTAATCATGAATGTTTTTATATTAAAATGATCATCATTATTATTACTATTTGCACTAATCTGCATCAATAAATTCAACTTTACGACATATAAACATAACGACTCTAGATCCACATCAGCTGTTTGACATTATAATGTGTTTAATTCAGTTTTGTTCAAATCTCACAGAAACAAAACTTAAAACCACATCACTAATTTACATAAACTAAGTGAAGATAAAACTCCAGCTCTTGTGTCGCTGATGTGGTTCAACTTGTGTTGGATTAAAAGACATGACTCAGGTGAATACAGGTCAGTGTGACCAGATTTGTGTTTGTCAAAACCAGGACAGCGTACGGGGGGAGGGGGGCGGGGCCTCGTCATCCACATTGAGCGACTCTCACCTGGAAAAACTTTTTCCTACTGGACACAGAAACATATGTGCTGCTTTATCCACTGTGCACATGGACTCACACTTGTCCCAACGCAACGGAAAGTGTGGAATTTCTTCTACAAATCCTGGTTAAATCCACATTTGTGCTTGGGTTCGTTACAGACTGACCCACTGTTTGTGTGTCGCTCCTTCTGATGCAGAGACACATGTACACACCTGTTTGGTCACGACACACACACATACATTCAGTTTGTCCATTCAAATCAACGGAATCCATGAAATTCTTAATGATCAATTATCGATTAATCGATTAATCATACCCATCCCTAGTCTGAACCAAAAAAGTAAAAAAACTAAAGTATTTGATTTTAAACCGTTTGTATTTTGATCCAAAGTTCTTCACTTCAGAAACATTTTTCTTGTCATTTACAGATCAAACCCACTAGCATGCTAACCGCGCACTTGCTTCTGTGACAGTAGGCGCGGCGTCTGACCTGAGAGGACCTGAGTGACCAGATCCACCTGGACTCCGGACTCGGCGGTCTCGGTCCTGTCGCACTGAACTCCGACCTCCCTGTGACCCCCGTGACCCCCGAGGGACGAGCGGACTTCACCCGGACCCAGACCCGAGACCCGGTCCAAGTCCTGGTCCAGGTCCACATCTGGAGGCTCCCACTGCACCCCCACGTCCTTCAACCTCGAGTCCATCAAGACCTGAGGAGAGACCAGAGTTATACCAGGACTAAACCAGGACTAAACCAGGTCTAAACCAGGTCTAAACCAGGACTAAACCAGGACTAAACCAGGACTAAACCAGGACTAGACCAGGACTAAACCAGGACTAGACCAGGACTAAACCAGGACTAAAACAAGACTAAAACAGGACTAAACCAGGTTTTTAAAAGGTCTTTTTTTTATTATTATTAAATCAGTTTTTATATTTCATTTTTGTTTCAGGTGAAAAATTCAAATAAATAAAAATAAAACTTCTCTAATCCCGTTTTCTCCTGAACTTTTCTGTCCCGCAGCTCAGACTCGAGCTTCAGTGAGTTTATAAAAATAAAACTCCCTCCTGTTTGTTCAGATTTTCAGATTTTGTGGGAGAAAAATCCTTCTGATGTTTTCATCTTTTTTCTGAACTAATCCAGCGTTAGCCTGTTAGCTCCGCGGGCTTTTCCTCCACAAACTCCCGGACTCTGCGTTTAAACTGCACTTTTTACCGTCAGGGCCCGAGCGGCGACGTATCCGGATCACGAAATGTAAAAAGTGCGAAATAAAAGTGTAAAACAGAGACAAAAACAAAAGATGAAGTCCGGAGTTTGAGTGGAGGACATGAGAGCAGCGCGGAAGTGAAGCCTGTTCTGCGGCTGCGCGGCGCGGGGACGACGCCCCCTGGAGGCCGGGAGACACAACACAACAACACCGCCGCTTATTTTACACAATATTTCACTTTTTACTCTTTATTTCATCGCGAATCGAGCGAAGAGAGTAAACACGTTTATTGATATTATTGTATATACCGTTATATATCATTTCTGTTGGGAAAAAGTTAGAGTTTGTGGAGGTTGGTAAAAAATAAAACTGTGAATCGAGTGACTAATGAAGGAAAACAGTTCTGCCCTCGGCCACTGGGAGGCACTACACTCACATTGTCTTTGTGTTTTGTCGTTTTTAAGCAAATGTTGGCGCTACGAGAATAAAGTCGTAATATTATGAGAATAAAGTCAAAGCCAGAAAAAGTCGTATTTTTATGAGAATAAAGTTTTAATTTTATGAGAATAAAGTCGTGTCAAAATAAAGTGTTAATATTAGGAGAACATCAGCGGCTCGTGGAGAATTTGGAGCATTTTGTAAAGGAGAAGAATCTGTGTATCATTCGTTTATTTGACTGAACCGTTTTCAGTCCTGGTCTGGTCCCGGTCTCAGTCCTGGTCTCAGTCCCAGTCTGGTCTTAGACCTGGTTCAGTCCTGGTTCAGTCCTGGTTTAGTCCTGGTTCAGTCCTGGTTCAGTCCTGGTTCAGTTCTGGTTCAGTCCTGGTTCAGTCCTGGTTTAGTCCTGGTTTAGTCCTGGTTCAGTTCTGGTTTAGTCCTGGTTCACTTCTGGTTCAGTTCTGGTTTAGTCCTGGTTCAGTTCTGGTTCAGTCCTGGTTTAGTCCTGGTTTAGTCCTGGTTCAGTTCTGGTTCAGTCCTGGTTTAGTCCTGGTTTAGTCCTGGTTCAGTTCTGGTTCAGTCCTGGTTTAGTCCTGGTTTAGTCCTGGTTCAGTTCTGGTTTAGTCCTGGTTCAGTTCTGGTTCAGTCCTGGTTTAGTCCTGGTTTAGTCCTGGTTCAGTTCAGTTCTGGTTTAGTCCTGGTTCAGTTCTGGTTCAGTCCTGGTTTAGTCCTGGTTTAGTCCTGGTTCAGTTCTGGTTTAGTCCTGGTTTAGTCCTGGTTTAGTCCTGGTTCAGTTCTGGTTCAGTTCTGGTTTAGTCCTGGTTTAGTCCTGGTTCAGTTCTGGTTTAGTCCTGGTTTAGTCCTGGTTCAGTCCTGGTTCAGTTCTGGTTCAGTCCTGGTTTAGTCCTGGTTCAGTTCTGGTTCAGTCCTGGTTTAGTCCTGGTTTAGTCCTGGTTTAGTCCTGGTTCAGTTCTGGTTTAGTCCTGGTTCAGTTCTGGTTCAGTTCTGGTTCAGTTCTGGTTTAGTCCTGGTTCAGTTCTGGTTCAGTTCTGGTTCAGTTCTGGTTTAGTCCGGAGGCGCAAATAATGAAGAAAATTTAGTTTGTTGTTTTGTTGTTCTTTTTCTTATTTTTGGTTTTATATTGAAAAACAAGGTTCTTCTTCTGCTGCATTTTTTACTTTGACTTTGATTTTATATCGACTTTATTCTCATAATATTATAACTTTAATGTCAAAATATTACAACTTTATTCTCGTAGAGCCAGCATCTTTTTTTTTTTATCTGACCCTTTTACTCCGTCGTATTTGCCCATTAATAATAATAATAATAATAATAACAACAACAATTTAATAAATAAGTAAATAAATAAATATAGGGGAAAAAGGGAATTTTTTTTTTTTGTACTTTTTTTTTTTTTAACAAAATATTGGTGAATTCAACTTTTTGCATTCATAACTGGACAGTGGTTTATATTTTAATGGCGTCTAACTGCGCCCAAAGTCTCGCTTTCTTTCTTATAAAAGAGATATATTTTCTATTTTTTTGCGGTCGCTAAAATGAGCAGCTCTGTGGTATTTTTGTTTTATAAAGGAGCCGGAAAAAGGTTGGAGACTCCAGTTTTCGAGCGTTTTGAAGTTTCCTGGGGCTGGTGATCCCAATTAAACCTGTAGAAGAATCATGAATATCTCCAAAAGTGAAAGCAGCACAAACGGTGGACATGGTTTCTGTGAAGGTTTGTGTTTCGATGACGTTTTATAAAAGTGACTGATGCTTTTTGCTGTTTCTCTGTTGTCATGGTGATGTTCCTCTGTCTGTCTGTGCGTGATCCTGCTGCAGTGTCCGTGTGTGTCCACAGGATGGCGCCGCTGCTCCGTGTCTCTGCTGTCCTCTGTGTCTGCAGCGCTCGTGTTCGTCCTCGTGGTGGCGCTGTGGTTCTGCCGGAGTTTGTGTGAAAAGGCTTTTTGTTTGAGCTGCTGCTCCAACACAGAAACACTGGAGCTTTCATGGTCACAGCTGCTGCAGAGAAGAAGAAGAAGAAGAAGAAGAAGAAGAGACAGAAAGACAGAAAGACAGAGACACAGACACAGAGACACAGACACACAGAGACACAGACACACAGAGACACAGACACACAGAGACACAGAGACACAGAGACACACAGAGACACACAGAGACACAGAGACACAGACACAGAGACACAGAGACACAGAGACACAGAGACACAGAGACACAGACACAGACACAGAGACACACAGAGACACACACAGAGACACAGACACACAGAGACACAGAGACACAGACACAGACACAGAGACACAGAGACACAGACACAGAGACACAGAGACACAGAGACACAGAGACACAGAGACACACAGAGACACAGAGACACAGAGACACAGAGACACAGAGACACAGACACAGACACAGAGACACACAGACACACAGAGACACAGACACAGAGACACAGACACACAGAGACACAGACACACACAGAGACAGACACAGACACACAGAGACACAGAGACACAGACACAGAGACACAGACACACAGAGACACAGACACAGAGACACACACACACAGAGACACAGAGACACAGACACAGAGACACAGAGACACAGACACACAGAGACACAGACACAGAGACACAGAGACACAGACACAGACACAGAGACACAGACACACAGACACACAGACACACACAGACACAGAGACACAGAGACAGAGACACAGAGACACAGACACAGAGACACAGACACACAGACACACAGAGACACAGACACAGACACAGAGACACAGAGACACAGACACAGAGACACAGAGACACAGAGACACAGACACAGACACAGAGACACAGACACAGACACAGACACAGAGACACAGAGACAGAGACACAGAGACACAGACACACAGAGACACAGACACAGACACAGAGACACAGACACACACAGACACAGACACAGAGACACAGACACAGACACAGACACAGACACAGACACAGAGACACAGACACAGAGACACAGAGACAGAGACAGAGACACAGAGACACAGAGACACAGACACAGAGACACAGAGACACAGACACAGAGACACAGAGACACAGACACACAGACACACAGAGACACAGACACACAGAGACACAGACACAGACACAGAGACACAGACACAGAGACAGAGACACAGACACAGACACAGAGACACAGACACAGACACAGAACACAGAGACACAGAGACAGAGACACAGACACAGACACAGACACAGACACAGACACAGAGACACAGACACAGACACAGACACAGAGACACAGACACAGACAGACACAGACACAGAGACACAGACAGACACAGACACAGACACAGAGACACAGACACACAGACACAGACACAGAGACACAGACACAGACACAGACACACAGACACACAGAGACACAGACACAGACACAGACACAGAGACACAGACACAGACACAGACACACAGACACAGACACAGAGACACAGACACAGAGACACAAAGAGACGTTTCATTTTTCTTCGTCGTCATAAATTCGTCCAAACTCAGAAATATTTGTAGGTGAATCATAATTTATTTAAAGGTCAGTTTCATTTTTTATAAATTCAGTTCAAGTTTAAATCAAAGTTTATTGCAAATTCAAGTCAGACCTGTTCTGCAAAAGAACAACAGGGTTAGAACAGTAGAACAATATTAGAACAGTAGAACAGTCACAGGAGTCAGTTTGTGTCATACAGGACACAAAATATAGAACAACAATGAAGGGAATGACATGTTCTCTGTGTTCTCATGTCTCTGTGTTCTCATGTCTCTGTGTTCTCATGTCTCTGTGTTCTCATGTCTCTGTGTTCTCATGTTCTCTGTGTTCTCATGTTCTCTGTGTTCTCATGTCTCTGTGTTCTCATGTCTCTGTGTTCTCATGTTCTCTGTGTTCTCGTGTCTCTGTGTTCTCGTGTCTCTGTGTTCTCATGTTCTCTGTGTTCTCATGTCTCTGTGTTCTCATGTTCTCTGTGTTCTCATGTTCTCTGTGTTCTCATGTCTCTGTGTTCTCATGTCTCTGTGTTCTCATGTTCTCTGTGTTCTCGTGTCTCTGTGTTCTCGTGTCTCTATGTTCTCATGTTCTCTGTGTTCTCATGTCTCTGTGTTCTCATGTCTCTGTGTTCTCATGTTCTCTGTGTTCTCGTGTCTCTGTGTTCTCGTGTTTCTGTGTTCTCATGTCTCTGTGTTCTCATGTCTCTGTGTTCTCATGTTCTCTGTGTTCTCATGTCTCTGTGTTCTCATGTTTCTCTGTGTTCTCATGTTCTCTGTGTTCTCTGTGTTCTCATGTTTTCTGTGTTCTCATGTCTCTGTGTTCTCATGTCTCTGTGTTCTCGTGTCTCTATGTTCTCATGTCTCTGTGTTCTCATGTTCTCTGTGTTCTCATGTTTCTGTGTTCTCATGTCTCTGTGTTCTCATGTTTTCTGTGTTCTCATGTTCTCTGTGTTCTCATGTCTCTGTGTTCTCGTGTCTCTGTGTTCTCATGTTTCTGTGTTCTCATGTCTCTGTGTTCTCGTGTCTCTGTGTTCTCATGTTTCTGTGTTCTCATGTCTCTGTGTTCTCATGTCTCTGTGTTCTCATGTTTCTGTGTTCTCATGTCTCTGTGTTCTCATGTTTTCTGTGTTCTCATGTTCTCTGTGTTCTCATGTCTCTGTGTTCTCATGTTCTCTGTGTTCTCATGTCTCTGTGTTCTCATGTTCTCTGTGTTCTCATGTTTCTGTGTTCTCATGTTCTCTGTGTTCTCATGTCTCTGTGTTCTCGTGTCTCTGTGTTCTCATGTCTCTGTGTTCTCATGTTTCTGTGTTCTCATGTTCTCTGTGTTCTCATGTCTCTGTGTTCTCATGTTCTCTGTGTTCTCATGTCTCTGTGTTCTCATGTTCTCTGTGTTCTCATGTCTCTGTGTTCTCGTGTCTCTGTGTTCTCATGTCTCTGTGTTCTCATGTTTCTGTGTTCTCATGTTCTCTGTGTTCTCATGTCTCTGTGTTCTCATGTTCTCTTCGTGTTCTCTTCGTGTTCTCTTCGTGTTCTCTTCATGTTCTCTTCATGTTCTCTTCATGTTCTCTTTGTGTTCTCTTCATGTTCTCTTCATGTTCTCTTCATGTTTTCTTCGTGTTCTCTTTGTGTTCTCTTCGTGTTCTCTTCGTGTTCTCTTCGTGTTCTCTTCGTGTTCTCTTCGTGTTCTCTTGTTCTCTTCGTGTTCTCTTCGTGTTCTCTTCGTGTTCTCTTCATGTTCTCTTCATGTTCTCTTTGTGTTCTCTTCATGTTCTCTTCATGTTCTCTTTGTGTTCTCTTCATGTTCTCTTCATGTTCTCTTCATGTGTTCTCTTCGTGTTCTCTTCATGTTCTCTTCGTGTTCTCTTCGTGTTCTCTTCGTGTTCTCTTCATGTTCTCTTCATGTTCTCTTCATGTTCTCTTCATGTTCTCTTCATGTTCTCTTCATGTTCTCTTCATGTTCTCTTCGTGTTCTCTTCATGTTCTCTTCATGTTCTCTTCATGTTCTCTTCGTGTTCTCTTCATGTTCTCTTCATGTTCTCTTCATGTTCTCTTCATGTTCTCTCTTGTTCTCTTGGTTCCGTTGACCTCGAGGCTCTGGTTCCATCTGAATCGAGTTAAAGTGAAGCGTCTTTGGCCTCGATCGATCCACAACCGATTTATGAGACCAATAAACGGAGCATCCTGGGAAATGTAGTCCATTAAAGACTCTAATGGACTACGACCCAGAGACCGGGACCAGGACCAGGACCAGACCAGGACCAGGACCAGGACCAGGACCAGGACCAGGACCAGACCAGGACCAGACCAGGACCAGACCAGGACCAGGACCAGGACCAGGACCAGGACCAGACCAGGACCAGGACCAGGACCAGGACCAGACCAGGACCAGGACCAGGACCAGGACCAGGACCAGGACCAGACCAGACCAGGACCAGGACCAGGACCAGGACCAGGACCAGGACCAGGGACCAGGACCAAGACCAGGACCAGGACCAGGACCAGACCAGGACCAGGACCAGGACCAGGACCAGGACCAGGACCAGGACCAGGACCAGACCAGACCAGACCAGACCAGGACCAGGACCAGGACCAGGACCAGGACCAGACCAGACCAGACCAGGACCAGGACCAGGACCAGGACCAGGACCAGGACCAGACCAGGACCAGGACCAGGACCAGGACCAGACCAGGACCAGGACCAGGACTAAACCAGGCCCAGACCAGGACTCGAGCAGGGTTAAACCAGGTCTAAACCAGGACTAAACCAGGATCAAAACAAGACTAAACACGGATTAAATATGGACTAAACTTGGACTAAAACTGGCTCAGGTTTTATTAACAGAGTCCGTCTCTAAACCAGAATTAAACACAGTTAAACCAGGACTAATCTTGGTCTAAACCGGGTCCAGACCGGGTCCAGACCGGGTCCAGACCGGGTCCGGGACTCTTGGTCTCTGTTTCTGGGACTTGTCGGTCAGGACACGGTTAACGCGCCGCGCCTGGCTCTAATCACACAAGAATGCTCCTCTCTCTCTCCCCGCGTCTCCCACCGCGTGACGTCAGCGGCGCCGGGGCTCGGGACTCGGAGCGGTGCGAGGAGAAGGAGGAGACCGAGAGAGACGCACGGAGCACCGGGACACACAAGCGCACACGCCCGGGGACCGACTGAGAGGCACGGGAGAACCGGGACCAAGACAGACCCGGGACCAAGACAGACCCGGGACCAAGACAGACCCGGGACCAAGACAGACCCGGGGACAGAGACCCAGACCCGGGGCCGGAGGAGCGGGTCGCGGCGCGGGGAGCGGGACTTGTGGACTCTCCCTCCGCGGTTCCGCCTCGGTTCGGGCGCGCGCCATGGAGCTCTCGGGAACTTTACTTTTATTCGTCACGCACGCGCTCATGGGACTGCTGCGGTGCACGCGCGGGGACAGCTTCAAAGGTAAGAGCCGAAACACCGAACCGAGCCTCCGGCACCAGAACCGGGCCGACAGCGGGAGGTCCGGGCGGCTGTGGCCGGCTCCGGGCCGCTGTGGTCCGGCTGCGGTCAGCGCCAAGAGTCGGTCCAAGTTTCCAGGCTCCGACTCTCCGCCTCTTTTCTGTCGCACAAAAGTTCAGCGCTCGAGGCGAAGAGGCGAGAGACGCGAGAGGAGACGAGGGACAGAACCGGGACAGAACCGGACCGACCGGACCGAGCCTGGACCGAGTCTGGACCGAGCCTGGACCGAGCCTGGACCGAGCCTGGACCGAGCCTGGACCGAGCGGGGAGCGCGGAGAAGTGGCGGAGTTTGAAGCTCCGTTCGCGGGGACGGAGACGGGGATGAGTCGGTCCAAAATGTCCGCGCTCCTTAAAGTGGATCAGTTTTGGTTCGGCTCCAGGTCTTAGGCACCTTTTAGTCCTGGTCCAGACCTGGTTTAGACCTGGTTTAGTTCTGGTTTAGACCTGGTTTCCACTTTTTATCCTCAGTCTCTGTTCTGAGTCTTGAGGTTTTGCGTAAACGTCTTTGGTTCTAAAGATGCGGAGTTTCAGACCCTAAACCGCTACAGACCGGGTTTAGTCCTGGTTTAGTCCTGGTTTAGTCCGGGTTTAGTCCTGGTTTAGTCCTGGTTTAGTCCGGGTTCAGTCCTGGTTCAGTCCTGGTTCAGACCCGGTTGAGTCCCGGTTGAGTCCCGGTTGAGTCCCGGTTGAGTCCTGGTTTAGTTCCAGTTGTCCTCCCACATTTCTGGGCGGTGAGTCGCTCGGGGAGAAAAATCCATCGGTTCAGTTCTAGAGAAGCGCGCGCCTCACGAGAGAAAAATGTAGAAATAATCCAAATATTTCATCATTTTTCTAAAGAAGCGCGAGGGACGAAAAAACACGAACCAAATCCTCAAATGATCCAGATTTGACATGTTTAAAAAAAAAATAAAAATACAGTAATAATCAGACAGAAGATCAATAAGAAACAGAAGGACTCCGCAGTCACACATGAAATGACACATTAATAATAATAATAATAATAATAATAATAATAATAATAATAATAATTATTATTATTATTATTATTATATTTGTACAGGATCATATTTAGACTTTTATAAGAATCATTTCACTAATGTTGAATTTATTTGGACAAAAGAATCTGGAGACTCTGATCAAAATAATTCAGTTTATTTCTCCACATTGAAGTTTGTTTAGAAAAAACACACAAACACAACACACACACACACACACACACACACTGTACACACACACACACACACACACACTGTACACACACACACACACACACACACACACACACACACACACACACACACACACACACACACACACACACACACACACACACACACATGTACACACACACACACACACACACACACACACTGTACACACACACACACACACACACACACACACACACACACACACACACACACACACACACACACACACACACACACACACACACATGTACACACACACACACACACACACACACACACACACACACACACACACTGTACACACACACACACACACACACATGTACACACACACACACACACACACACACACACACACACACACACACACACACACACACACACACACACACACACTGTACACACACACACACACACACACACACACACACACACACACACACACACTGTACACACACACACACACACACACACACATGTACACACACACACACACACACACACACACACACACACACACACACACACACACACACTGTACACACACACACACACACACACACACACACACACACACACACACACACACACACACACACACTGTACACACACACACACACACACACACACACACACACACACTGTACACACACACACACACACTGTACACACACACACACTACACACAGACACACACTGACACGATCTGGACCTGTGTGTGCGCACGTGTTTAGTGTGTTGTGTGTGTTGTGTGTGTTGTGTGTGTGTGTATAGTGTGTGTGTGTGTGTATTGTGTGTTGTAACAGAGACAGACCAATATATTGATCAGCCAGGGCCGTATCAGTCATGTATTGGTTGCATGTGGTTGTGTGTCGGTCATGTGTGTATCAGTCGTGTGTATCGGTCGTGTGTGTGTATCAGTCATGTGTGTATCGGTCGTGTGTGTGTGTGTATCAGTCATGTGTGTATCGGTCGTGTGTATCGGTCGTGTGTGTGTGTGTGTATCAGTCATGTGTGTATCGGTCGTGTGTATCGGTCGTGTGTGTGTGTATCAGTCATGTGTGTATCGGTCGTGTGTGTGTGTATCAAGTCATGTGTGTATCGGTCGTGTGTGTGTGTATCAAACATTTATTTTTTATAAAATATTTTCAGTTTCTTGATTTTTGTCTGAAACACGAAACAGAAAAATGTGAAGAAAAAATTCAAACGTTTCATTTTTAAAATCTGACGAGAAACGAACGAAAAAAACTGAACAAACATAAAGATCCAATCATTTATTTAAACTGTGTGTGTGTGTCGGGGTCTGTGTGCGTGTGTGTGTGTGTCGGGGTGTGTGTGTGTGTCGGGGTCTGTGTGCGTGTGTGTGTGTGTCGGGGTCTGTGTGCGTGTGTGTGTCGGGGTCTGTGTGTGTGTGTGTGTGTGTCGGGGTCTGTGTGCGTGTGTGTGTGTGTCGGGGTCTGTGTGCGTGTGTGTGTGTGTCGGGGTGTGTGCGTGTGTGTGTGTGTCGGGGTGCGTGTGTGTGTGTGTCGGGGTGTGTGTGTGTGTCGGGGTCTGTGTGCGTGTGTGTGTGTGTCGGGGTGTGTGTGTGTGTGTGTCGGGGTGTGTGTGTTGTGTGTGTGTCGGGGTGTGTGTGTGCGTCTGTGTGTGTGTCGGGGTCTGTGTGTGTGTGTGTGTCGGGGTCAGAGGTCACACAAACACATTTAAACTCAGATATTTTTATTTTTCACATAAACAGGTTTTTAAATCTTCACAAAAAACTACAAACTCAACCAGGTTTAAACCCAGTGGAAAGAACCGGTCCAGTCCTGAGTCTGGGTCTGGGTCTGAGTCTGGGTCTGGGTCTGAGTCTGGGTCTGGTCTGTCTGAGTCTGGGTCTGGGTCTGGTCTGAGTCTGGGTCTGGGTCTGGGTCTGAGTCTGGGTCTGAGTCTGGGTCTCGGTCTCAGGTCTGAGTCTGGGTCTCAGGTCTGAGTCTGGGTCTGAGTCTGGGTCTGGGTCTGGGTCTCAGGTCTGGTCCAGGTCTGGTCCAGGTCTGGTCCAGGTCTGGTCTTGGTCCTGGTCTGGGTCTTGTTGTCGGTCTCAGGTCTTTGAGGAGGTGCAGTGTTATTGAATGTTGTGTCTCTGTGGCATTGAGTTTGTTCTCAGTTTGGTCTCAGGTCGGAGTTCGGTCTGGGTCCGGTCTCGTTCTTGGTCTTGGTCTGGTCCAGGTCTGGTCCAGGTCTGGTCCAGGTCTGGTCTTGGTCTTGTTCTCGGTCTTGTTGTCGGTCTCAGGTCTTTGAGGAGGTGCAGACTCTTATTGAATGATGTTCCTCTGTGAGGCTCTGATTGAGTTTGTTCTGATTCTCTCCTCTAAGTGTTTCTAAGTGTTTTAAAACGGATCAGCCGCTTTTACTCTGAAGGAGACTTTCAAAATAAAACCCAGCTCCTCCTGATTTTCAAAATAAAACTCAGCTCCTCCTGATTTTCAAAATAAAACTCAGCTCCTCCTGATTTTTCTTTGTTCAGTTCAAACATCGACGTTTCTGTAAAAGACTTTGTTTGTTTGTTTGTTTGTTTTTGTTCTAACGATGTTCCTCATCACAAACCTGAACAGAGTTTAGACTCATGCATGTCTGAGTCATCTAGTGATCTCTCCTGGGCCCTGTTCAAACCCTCCTCACGGTCTGCTGCAGTACGAGTCTGTACGAGGCTCCGCCCACAGGCTCCATAAAAACACAAAAACACGACACAAAACTGAACAGAGCGACTGGACAAACCTCTGCAGGGGGAGCGACTCAGCACAGAGAGCAGAGAGACGACAGACTCTGTGTGAATCTGTCGTTTGTGTGAATCTGAATGTGACGGGTTTAAACTGAGAGAAACACAGAGGAAACTAGGTGTTAGGAGATAGGAGCTAGGAGGTAGCAGATAGGAGGCAGAAGTTAGGAGGTAGGAATTAGGAGATAGGAAACAGAAGGTAGGAGACAGGATATAAGAGAGAGGAGATAGGAGCAAGGAGGTAGGAGGTAGACGTTAGGAGATAGGAGTTAGGAAATAGGAGACAGGAATTAGGAGTGAGGAGGTAGGAGTTAGGAGTTAGGAGGGAGGAGTGAGGAGATAGGAGTTAGGAGATAGGAGATAGGAGTTAGGAGGGAGGAGTGAGGAGATAGGAGTTAGGAGAGAGGAGATAGGATGTAGGAGATAGGAGGTAGGAGTTAGGAGGTAGGAGATAGGAGATAGGAGTTAGGATGTAGGAGTTAGGAGGTAGGAGGTAGGAGTTAGGAGATAGGAGTTAGGAGGTAGGAGAGGAGGACTTGGAGCTGACTCAGGTCTGACCTGGTCTAATCCTCTGTGGCCTCATTAAAAAAACACAAACTACAGACCAGAACTAGACCCGGTCCTGGTCCTGGTCTGGTCCTGGTCCTGGTCCTGGTCCTGGTCTGGTCCTGGTCTGGTCCTGGTCTGGTCCTGGTCCTGGTCCTGGTCCTGGTCTGGTCCTGGTCCTGGTCTGGTCCTGGTCCTGGTCTGGTCCTGGTCTTGGTCCTGGTCCTGGTCTGGTCTGTCCTGGTCTGGTCCTGGTCCCTGGTCTGGTCTGGTCCTGGTCCTGGTCCTGGTCCTGGTCTGGTCTGGTGGTCCTGGTCCTGGTCCTGGTCCTGGTCCTGGTCTGGTCTTGGTCCTGGTCTGGTCCTGGTCCTGGTGGTCCTGGTCCTGGTCCTGGTCTGGTCTGGTCTGGTCCTGGTCCTGGTCCTGGTCTT